GAAAACCATTCTCGACTCCGATTCACGATTAAACGTTACTACAACAGATAAATCAATCGATTTATCGAACGATCGATTGATTTTTACACAATTTCAATCCTACAATTATTTTGTAAATTCTTTCCAAAAAAATCTGATATGTTATGTCTTAGCGACAATCAATCATTTTCTCAAATATTCCTCTGAAATAATCATAATATCATTTTTATTTATTTATATTATTATTATTATTATTAAGTGATATTAGGAAGTGGAAAGTTCATTGCCGCAAATATCCGCAAATCCCGGGGCCATTGTTCCCGTCCCTGAGCGCGATCCTTCCATTCACGGTCTTCGTAATCCTATTTATTTCTTTCAATTTCGTTAAATTTTTATTTATATATAATTAAAAATAATTAAAACCATAAGAAAAGATATACATATTTTGGTTGTCGTATAAATGAAAATATTGTTTCATTAAAATGTCACATATCTCTTGCATATATCCAGAAAATTATTTAACACATTTATTTTACGTAATATCTTAAGTCCTCCCACGAGATTAGATAAGCTTATTCGTATATATATATGTATATGGGGTAACATAGAAAAGAGAAGACAACAAAAATCGCAACTTTGATATCGGTTAGACACACAAGAGAGAAAAGTTATTAGATTGAATAACGTTAGAATTATTCAAGTCCCGTTTCTGCAAACATTAAATCTTTTATATTCTCCGTATATCTCGTAGACTGTAAGAATATAATTTTAACTACAGCTCGTTAAACGACACGTTTTTAAACGCCAAGATTTATACAAGTACATAACCGATTCATTCGATCCTAATGAATTTCAAAGTTAATTTATTTGATTTCTACTTTGCCACCCCACCCGTTAGAACGATACTTAATTATTTTACATTATTCCAATTATATTATCTCCTATTTCTCTTGTATTAATTTAAAAAAAAAAAAAAGATACAAAGTAAAAATGGCGTGTCATTAAAAAATTAAATCAATGAATAACGATTACGAATATCGAATTTTAAATTTAATGCGATTTCGCACGATAGAATGATTCATTTAACCGACGACATTTAAATGATTATATTTTTATTTAACGATGGAATTTAGTTGATTATTATCTTTCCCTTGTCGTTCGTTTATACTCTTCTTCTCCCGTTTTCTCGCTCTCTCAATGTCAAATTTCATTATCAAACATGTATGTACATAATCAGATAACTTGTATAAATATTATACAATGTTTATTTTAAATAAATCATTTTAATTTACATCTTTTTTTTTACTCCAAATCTTTATCGTATCTTTAACATGTGCTTCGATTGATTAAAATAAATGATATGAAACGTAGTAATATCGATCAAATGTGATTACCATAAGGTTTTTTTTTCCCTTTTGTTGCTTTTAACGCGATACGATCAAAGTTCAGGGACAGAATTCTTTTACAAAATAATAATGGCAATTAAAATAAAAATAAACAACATGTGTGTAGATTACACGTGTTAGAAGTGAAACCTTCTTCAAAAAACTAAGTTACGAGAGAATCAGACGAATGCAGAATATCAGGTGTAGGATAATTTGTAGAATTTTTTTGTTATAATATTATCATTATAATATATTTTCAAATTACACCCATTCTAAAGAAATTTTCATTTCAAAAAAATCACATTTATTTCGAAAATTCATAAATCATCGAATAACTATAGAGACGATCGTTAAGACGATCCTGTGTACAATTGTGTGAACAAATTGTTTGGTGGGTTCGATTTCCTCATTTTCATCTTTCAAAACATTTTTCTCGAATCTAAAAGAAACCACCACCAACCACATGGAAAACTTGAGGGAAAACTTGATCTTATTAGGATCTATAGTTGTGTGAACTGGACCGTTCAACGTCTCTCGAACGAAAAGCTCGGGTGCAACGCGATATTTGATCTCCTTCGAGAAATTTACCACGCTACCGGTAAAACCTAAAGAAAGACTAAACCAAGAAAAGGAAGATGGAAGAAGGATAAACAAAAAGAAAGTGAGAGAAATATTTTGCTAGCGTTCAAATTATTCCATGATATTATTTGTTTGTAAAATAATGAAAAAGTTTGGATGAAAAAACACATCGATTTACTTGATTAAAAATAACAACAATTAAGCGTTCTTTTTTCTATCTTTTTTCTATCTTTCCGGAATGAATTTTATTATCAGTTAAAAATAATTATGAAATAATAGAAATTATATACAGGAAACGAATTATCTGATTCTCATTGTTTTTCGCACCGAATATAATTTATCTATTTTCTCTCGTTTTTCATATCCAAGAATACGGAAACTGTGCTTGGTTGAAAGCTTCCTCCAATTTTCCTCATTCTTTTTCTTTTTCTTTCTCTGTTCTCTTTTCTCTTTCTCTTTCATACCAGAGATGCATATTTTGGACTGAATTTTAGTCAGAACTTTTTTTTTTTTTTTCAACCCAGAAAATGCAACTTTATGAATTTGTTTCCGGACGATCCTATGGATTACAAGTCGTCTCCCAATATTTCTTTCTCTCATTTCCTTTTTAACATGGATGCCAAAATTACAAAAAAGAAAAAAAAACGCAATGATAACCGAATAAGAGTTCGTACCTGACCTAGAAAAAAATTTATATCTCAATCGTAAAAAAAAAAAAAATAAAGAAACACAATGTGATAAGACGGAAAAAAAATAAACGGTTGTTTTACTTTTTTTAACGCAACAAGCATCGTACTGATAAAAATGCAAGGGAGACGAGATTGGAAAAAGAAAAAAACAAACAAACAAAGGGAAAGAATTATAAATGCGTTCTCTCGTATTACTCTTTTCACCCTAGATCACCCTAAAACCTTCTCGCTTGCAAAATTCAGTGCAACTAAATGTTTGTATTACTGAAATAAAATTGTTTTTTCTTTTGTTGTTTTCAAAACGCGTGTGACAACGCGATAAGCAAAATAAAACAACAATAAAGAATCATAAAAATCAAATAAAATAAAATAATATTCGTTGATGATGATGATGATGATGATGATGATGATATAAAATGATTCGTTAAATTTATCCTTGATAAAAAATCTTAGCTCATCGAAATATATACTTTAACCTTTTTATAAAATTATAAATCAAGGTAAAGAATGAAATTTGTATGACGACAAGTCTCGTTACTTCGTATTCGCTTATTTCTTTCATCACGCTCGATCGAAGATTTCAATCAACGAATAATTCGATTCTTGGTTAATATTACTAGAATTAGATGATATATCGAACACGTTTAATTAACGCGTAAAATGACCACGAGAGGAGTTTAATATAAGTGGCGTTAAGTGATACAATCTCGCGATCGAGAATCTTTATCGAGACAATTCAATAATTCGTGTTTCTTTATAGCTTCGAATTCAATCCTATAATACATTTCATCAGATTTCATCAGATTTCATTAGTTTCATTAAGATTTAATCTCGATATTTTAAACAAACTAGACGTTTGACATACATAATTGTAAAAACCAGCCTCCACCTCCCCTGATTTAAACCGAAGATAGGTTCGTTCGTCATAAAACAGTGCAACATTGAAATACGTGTAAATATAGTACCTCTATAAACCAAATGATAGGTGTACTTTAAATAAAATTATTGAAACGAGCAGAAATAACGTAACATCGAATATCAGGTAGCCATAACACGGTGTATTATATCGATTTCGGTATGTACAGTATCAGCGTCGTTAGGTAACAGCAGACTTTGGCCCCGAATCACGGTCAAAGTTTGGAGTAATCATTGACGACATTGAGGGCCATGAAACTAGCAAGGTCGCAAACATATATACATGTATACGAGAGGAAACGAAAAGTTTTGCCAACGTTGCGTGGCAAAACATACAAAATTGTCGAGTTAAAGCTTTAGCTCATTAAAAACAACGCGACTACGTTATTATATACCCCGTAAACGTATACGTTTTCTACATCTATATCTATATCTATATATATTTATATATGTACGTGGTGGAAGGAAGGAAGGAAGGAAGGAAGGAACATGCACGCGAGTCATACACATGCGGTCTGCATACCGAGTTTGTCAATACATTAATCCTCGTGCATTGTGGCGACCCAGTGGCGCCTTTGACCCTTCATACGAACTACAAACGAGCACTCATATTGCATATATTCTCCTCTCGCGTGCATCGCATTTGCATGAAGAGTTTCCAACGACTTTTACCCTCTTTCTCCTCCTTCTCGCATTACTAAAAGAAGAGTTTAAGCCGAAAATATTAACCATCGTTGAGAGTACTTTTCGAGTACCCTCACCAACACCACCACCACCAACATCGATCAAAACTGAAAGATTTAAGGTAATCGATCGAATCATTTCTTTACCCTTCCCTCTCTCTCTCTCTCTCTAATGACTAATACTAACATGAATTCTCTTTGAAACATGTGTGTTTTAGTAGTAAAAAAAATATACACGCACTTTTATTGGTGATATCATCATAAATTGAAATAGAGGTGTCGTTTCGCACGACTCGTCGTCATCGATCCTAGATAAAAGTGTGTGTGGTTACGCGTTATCGAAGAAAATGTGATTCGAGTTTCGCGATACGCTTTCGATAAAAGCATCATCGCATTTTCATTCGAATATCTGATTCGGATGTAATTCATTTGCTCTAAGAGATTATACGAGATTTCGAGGAAAAATATAAAATGAAGTTTCTGTGAAAACGAGTATTACTAGGATATATACTCTCTGGTACCCCAGTTACGTAGTCCTTCGTAAAACCTTTTGTGAAACCTTCGGGAAATCTCGAGACGTGCAACGTAAATCTTGAAAAGAAGGAAAGATTCTGGACTGACATTCGATATAAAACCACCAACGTATATATATATATATATATATATATATATAGAAAAGGTAAGGTATCGTAAAAGCTAAGAGAAGATATATCTATACGTAGACGAAGATCTTCTTCAAAAATTGTTAAGAAAAAAAAATGAAAATTCACCTTGATACCACTCCGTCCTTGTTGTTTTAGAAGAACGTTTTCCGGCTTCATATCGCAATGAATGATTTTGTTTTTGTTCAGTGCATCCAGACAAAGAAGTAGGGAATAGGAAAACTTCCTCACAAGCTGAAGACTAAAGCCCCGAAACCTGTTCTTCTTGATGAGCTCGTAAAGATTGATACTGAGTAACTCGAAGGTGATGCACGTGTGACATCGAAAGGTGAATGCTTCGAACATATGAATGATGTTCATCCTATCGTTCTTGTCCTGTTCCCTAAGTTTCTTCAGTATTTCGATCTCTTCTTGTGCCTGCCGATGAAATCTTTTCTCGTTCCTAATCATCTTCAGGGCAACGTGCTCGTGATTCTTATGATCATAAACTTTAACGACCTGACCGAAGGAACCCTTGCCAATTACCTTGAGGACCTCGTACCTGTAGGCCACGTGATCGTGCGGTACATGTATATAAGAACCTTGATCATTGTCGTATTCGTGATTATTTCGTCTTCCAATAATGCCGGGTCTCTTTTTGGCGTTAGCTCCAATGAAATAAATGTATTCGTAATTGAATATTTCGTGATGCTCGTAAGGCGTGAGTTTGTTCATGTAAAACCTCATAACGGTATCTGGTAAAAGTTTCATCGACATGCGTTTTTCCGGAAGAAGAACGGTACTTGGGCTTGCACTGGCCCCAGATGCGGTACCGGGCCTTCCGTCGGTGGTGCAAACCACGGCTCCACCCGTACCACTACCAACACCAACACCACCAACACCACCACCACAACCACCACCACCACCACCACTCGAACTACCATCCGATCTACCGTTCTTTACCATCGGACTACTTGATTGCGAGTTTGGCTGGGAATGCGAATTGTGACTCGCGTGCGAGCTCAAACTGAGATTGAGGCTGTCCGAGTTCCCGGAGAGATTTTGCAAGCTGTTGTTAGTACTCGACGCAAGGCTGGGCAGGTGCGTGGACGCTCCTCCGCCGCCAGCACCACCACCTCCGCCACCTCCACCACCGGCAACCACGTGACCGATGGTCGCGTGCGCGACATGACGCGGCGGCGACGATTCGCTCTGTTTCAAATTATCGAAAGCCGCTGCCATCATCACCACTGCCGCCGAGGTTGATTTCAACGGTGGCAGGTGATTGCTCTCATTCGTCTGTTGCGTTAATATTGTGTCTGCTGCTGCTGCTGCTGCCGCCGTCACCCCCGCAGTCAAGCCAGCCGCAGCTGCCGCTGCTGACGTTCCATACGGATTTGCCCTTGACAGAGGCATCATGCTAGTTGCAATGGTTAAGCTAATCATTTGTTCCCTTATACTCTTCTTAATCCCTCTGCTGTCTTCCTTATCAACAAAACACGTTGCAAACCAAACAGAACAAAAGATCTCTTCTCCTTACGGCAAACTTTCGATTTGTTTTTTTCACCACCCCGTGAAATCGGCCTTATCGCGGCCTCGTCAGATATCTTCATGCCGAGGAAACACGATCTTTATCTTCTTATCTCTCCCTCCTTTTCGCTCCTTTAACTTTCTTTCTTTCTTTCTTTCTAGCTATCTAACTATCTAGTTATTTATTTATTTAGTTATTTTATTTATTTAACTATCTTCTCTTTTCCTCTTCACCTCTCTCCCTTATTCCCGTTTCTTTTTTCTTTCCAATAAATTAATCAACTAATATTCTCCTTTTTGCTATTCTCAGTCTCTCGTATCGATCGATAAAGTTACAATCGAGGCTCATTGAATTTTCTCGTTAGAAACAAAGAGACAAACTCTCTTTTATATGCTTTCTCCTGGCATGTTTACATATCGATCGTATTAAAACGTTAATATTTTAAATGCAGCGGACTAGAAAATTGAACTCTCGCGCACGTGTGTTCTCTCTCTCTCTCTGTCTTTGTATTGCGCGCGTGTTTCTTCAAATTTAAGAAAATTTATATATATATATATGTATACATATATAAAAAAAAAAAAGAAGGAAAATAAAAATGAAAAACAAAACAAGGAAACTTTGAAGAAGGAAAAGTTAATTAAAGTGTGTCGATAATAATAAAAGAGGAACTATGAAAAATGTCAATTAACGAATAAGCGACAGGCATAATTGTCATCTCTTCTTTATCGTTCTTTGATACTCTTCTACCGTTGTGTTGCTGTAGTTTGTATTTCTTCAGATAGTAGTAAATGATTCAAGGAGGAACAACAACATCTCAACAACAATACCTTCATCGTTATTAACTCTTTCTTGTTTTGCAACGAAGACAAGAGGCCAAGAGGATGATTGTTCTTCTCCTTTTACCTTAGAACGAGCCTTCGAACGTCTAATTTTACGATTTATACGGTAGTAGTACGGGAGCAAACGCATCGTGTGCACCAGAGAGAAGTCCAATGCGCTCGTGGTAAGAGAGAGAGGTTATTGGCACCACTACCACTACTCGACGACGGTGGCTCGACCTCTTGCTCCTCCTCCTCNTCCTCCTCCTCCTCCTCCTCCTCCTCCTCCACCTCCTTCCCCTCCAACTAACCGTAGTAACTCGCGAATACACAGGAGAAGAAACTCTCGAGTTCTCGTCCCTTTTCGTCCTCAGCTTTTATTATGCTGTCCTCGGTGTTTCTTCGTCTTATCTTCGATCCTACTTGTTTCGTTGCTCGACTTGCTATTACTGCTACTACTACTACTACTACTTGTCGTTAAGGGTTCACGGCTTTCGTCACCGGCATCGAAACACCACCACGAGGCCCACCACCGGCGGCGACATATCATGCCACCCCCGCACCAACCTCTTCTTCTTCTTCTTATACCAATCGACACCACCCTCACTATTATTAATAATACTAGTACTCTCAGTACTATTCACTTCCACCACTGCTGCTGCCACCGCCGTCACCACTACTACTACCACTACTAGCAACAACAACACCGCCACAACCACCACAACCACCACTAAGAACAACAACAACGAATTCGCCCAACCCGACGAATTTCTCGCACGCATCAATCAAAGTGCAAAAAGGACGACGAGGATTCTCGTTCGGAGCCGCTCCTCGAAGTCGTCTTGCGACCAACCTTCGCTTCTGCTGCTGCTTCTACTACTACTGCTGTTCTCTCTTCTTCTTATTTTTTTATCACTCTCTCTCTCTCTCTCTCTCTCTGTCTCTCTTGCGAGTGCAAGAGAACAACAAAGAAAAGGACAGACGGAGAGAGAGAAAGAGAGAGAACGACCCCTCGCTTCCGCCGTCTCGCCCTACACAACACACGTATGCGCACGCATACACACGCGTTTGGCGATTCTCCTCGATCTCTCCTCCCTCCCTCCCTCCCTCTCTCCCTCCCGCCTTCACTCACTCACTCTTTCGCTTTCTTTCTTCCTCGCGTTTTGCACCCTCCTCCGCAACCTCCCTCCACCACAACCACCACCACCACCACACCACCAACACCACCGCCTCTTCTTCCTTTTCCTCTTTACTCGTCGTTGCTACTCGTCGTACTCGTTCGTTCCAATCCTCGATGTTTCCACTAGCAGCACAACGTTATCTTCTTTTCTCCTTTCAATTTCCATCGTCGTGCACGCTTTATTATCTTTCTCTGTTTCTTTTATTTACGAGGCTACCGCCACTTCTTCCACCACCATCGTGTTTTTATTCTTTTTATAACCCTTTCCCCCTCTGTTAGAATAGTTGTGTCAGAAAACAGTGGCAGTCGCAAAAGAAGAAGAATAAGAAGAAGAATAGGCAGGCGAGCATTTACGAAAGAACACGAACGATTTCAGTCTAATCTACTGGCGTGGTAGACGACAGTACACAACCAAACCAGACCAGACCAGACCAGACCAGACCAGACGACGACGACGACAGACAGCAGACAGAACAAACACGCATATGTACAATTGTCGCTTGAACTTGGCACGGCGCGTCCTCGAGACGCGATTCCTATCGATGGACAAACCTCTCTTCCGATACAACTTCCTTTTAAATAATGTCAACGACTCTGTCAAACTCGATGAGATATCCTTTTTCCTCTAGGCGTACAGGTGTTCTCGACCCTTCCCCCTCTTTACTTTTCCTTTCCCTTTCTCCTTCTCTTTCTCCTTCTCTTTCTTTCTCTTCCTTCCGTTCGTTACGCCTTTTCTCTTCTACTACTTTCTATTTATCGATATGACATGTACGCACAAATGTACAACAAGCTCCGCGTTCAAACCGCGCGCGTTAAAAATGCCGCCACGGCAGACGCTCTCTTCCTTTCCAACTTCTCTCTTCTTCTACTTTTTTTCTTTCTTTTTCACTGACTTCTACCTGATCCACACCTTCGCGTACCTTTCGCGTCTCGAGCTAAACTTCTGCTGCTTCACTGCTGTTGCGCTGCACACCCACGCATGCACTCGCTTTCGTACATATATGAAAGAACGTGTCTTTAAAGCGCGCACGGATGTCACCACCGTACTCCGATTGCTTCGTTGCACGAAGAAAGCTCCGTAAACCTACCCTGGAGTAGGGATTTCTTTTAGAGTGGAATATTTATTTTCATAAAAGCTGCTTGACAGCACCATCTGTTGTCAGAGAATTCAGATGACACTACCATGATGCACGACTGTCCTATTCCCATCTACACGATTTGCTTTATCCTTTCTTCTCAAGTGCATCCCTGCGCATGCACAGACTCCTCGGGAGCTTACCGTCCAATAGCAATTCGCGATAGCTCGTTCATATTTTCTATCATTTACATTCGACCAATCTAACCTATCAGACACTTTACTGTATGCGTATGCACATACCGCGTCTCTATTTTCACCCGCCAGTCTAGTTTTCTTTGTAATTTTCCATTTATTCTCGAATACACGTCCTAATTGTTTACAATTTATTAGTGTTTCTAACAAATATGTATCTAAAGAAGAAAACTTTTCATAAGAATTACTTCTTCGATGAAGTATTTGGTGATATTATTAGTTCTACAATTCTCTTAGATTTTCAAAAAAAAAAAAAAAAAACATGGAGGCCTTCGACCCAACCTAGCAGACACTGACGTTATTGTGTATGCACATTATATAGCGTCGTTCAGTTTACGTAGGATTTGTTGCAGGGCTATCTTTGTTCAGAGCTAAATATTGAATACGTCTGAATAATTTATAATTAATTCGTTAAAAATGAATTTATCGCAGAAAACTTTCAAAGAAAGACGCCCCTTTGGTAAATATATATTTTTAATTATGGATTATAAGCTTTATTTTCTTTTCGAAAAAAACAATGGTCTTTGAACAAACATCATCCTATTTTTGTATAGTTTTTTCTTCATCGTTGTCGTTTATAACGATATTTGTGATGATACATAATTCTGTAATTTTTATCGTTAAAGCTTATTCAATTTGTGCATAAAAAAAAATATCTATATCTATATATATATATATATATATATTTGAACACTTACATTAATTTTAATCACTTCATTCTTATTTATACAGAATTTTCCTAAAGATCAGGATCAAATTGATATCGCGTATTAATTAGGTTTAAATAATACAGTTTTTACAGGATGATGCCATAAATGTGGTAGAAACAAAAGACCAGTTTTGGGAATGTATTCCAAATCTATTTACTGTTATTTCTGCAAGAACAGGAATAAAACTTAAAACTTGTCAATAAATTATTTGTAGATATACATTTTGTACATTAATTTGTAATTATAAATCTATGTATGATGTTACGTTAGATATTTAAACAACTAATACAGAATTTGTTTTTTAGCAATGAGGGTAGCCGATGTGGAAGCTATTAAAAAGAGATATCCAAATAAAATTCCTTTAGTGGTAGAAAGATTACCAGGAGAAAAGCACTTACCAACTTTACATAACGCTAAATTTTTGATACCCGATTTCTTATCAGTGGCAGAATTAATCAAAATTTTAAGGTATTTATATGATGCAACAATGTTTTATATAATATTCAACAAACAATGTGTTAAAGATTTGTTGATATTACAGACTTAAACTACAGCTAAATCCATCACAAGCATTTTATCTATTAACGAATAGTAATAAAAGTTTGGTAAGCGGTGGCATGACCATGTTGCAACTGTATCAAAGGGAACAGGATGAGGATGGATACCTGTACGTCTTATTCGCCAGTCAAGAAGTATTTGGTCATAACTAACGCAATAATTTAATTGCAAGTAAATATAATGTTTTAGATAACAAAACAAAACAAAACAAAAGAAAAAAATATAAAAATTAAGTTAGACGCGATTTAATCTATACGCATATATCGGATATTTTCACAAAATATTAGATTTTAATCATAGATCTGCTACTACATGTTTGCCTTTAAACCGAACGCGCAGAACCCTGTGATCAACTCGCAGTACCTGTCAAAATATTAACCAGAACAATCGTATTTGAAATTTGCATCTGAAATCATCATGGTGCTTGGAATTTTTGTCAACTAAGTCCATAGTATTCAAAAGAATTAGAATGAATTTAGTTTATTACTGATCGTCTGGGTAGATGCTAGTACTCTCTATGGAAACACGCTTAACAGTGATAATATATAATTAAAACAATACTTTACGATATATATATATATATATATTAAGGAATGCGAATCTTATGCGATACGATAATTCTTTAGATTCTGTATCGTTTAATTAAAATCCACTAACTTATAATTAGCATTCGATATAATGCAAATTTAGTAACACTACATGAATTATTTATGCAATATATAAACAGTGTGTGATACGTACTTTCAACGTTATATATACATACATACATGCATACGTATCTTATATGCAATGAACTCTTGTAATAGATAATTGTTATGATTTTAAATGTGATGGAAATGTCAGTCAATTTATATCGAAGTTAGATAACTTTAAGTTTACCATTACTCCTAGAACAAGTATAGATATATGCTGTGAAATAATTTCTGTGGTATATTCGTCATATCTCGTTTTTACCGTAATATACTTATTCAGAAATTCTGCAATATTCGTGGAAGTGTTCATGTACATAATCTAATATATCTATACATACATACTTACAATGTGATCTATATCGGATATTAGTCCAAGAGCCTCTGTATTCTTATTTCGAGTTCGACTTTGAAAGCACTTTCCATATTTACATCCGTCGATCGAAATGGTGCTTTTAACGCGCAGAGCAATGTTCGAATAGTGGCCTTAGAATCTAAATTAAGACTGGGCATTTAAAATATGAATTTCTCTTTATGTCTTTAATAATAATTATTTTAAATATATACAGTTAATCGCGCCGATTGGAACATAAGGTCTTGGACAATCTTCCAAACTGTAATTTACCATTCTTATGATTACTGTAAATCGACTAAAAAGATAAGAGTACCTGTTAAAAAGAAAGAAAGAGAAAAAAGAATTGTAAAAATAACTTCGATTATTTATATAAATATATATATTGAATGATCTCTTGCAATTCTGCAACAAAGCGATTGACGGAATATAAAGACAATGTCATTTGTCATGTCGTTGGCAATATCTTCGTCTTATATAATGGAACCAATTTAGCACTACGATTGTTAACAAAAATTACGTTATACATAAGGAGTACTCACTTTTTTAAAACGAAAATAATTCACATTATACGAAAATTCATTTTAGAATATTAAACGTTTCGAATTTTTTATACGAAAAGAAGAAGAAGAAGAAGAAGAAGAAAAAAAAGTAATAGTATTAACTTAAAACGCACGATCGAAAATATCACGTACAAAGTTCTAACTCAATACATCTACGATTAGGTATAGCAATAAAATAAATAGTGTTAGACTTAATTATTCAAATTTTCCTTTGGTTCATATCATTTCTATTACATGCATTAAGAATGTACTCTACGCGTATGTAATAAATCCATATGCAATAAACATTTTCTAAAGCGAATTATTTATTTTTTCGAAATAGAATTGAAGTCTAAACTATCTGATTGATATCATAATTAAACAATAATTTGCACATTTCTATATCGATATTAAATATATATACTTTTATGAATTTCAGTAAAATCTGAAATAAAATAGCATAAATTAATAGTCAAGTAGAAAATTCGATATATCAATTCAAAAGTGGCGCGTTCAAGATGGCCGCTTGTCGCTCGGAAACGACGATAGAAATCGTCATTGATATTAGTGCAGTCCAGTTTAGAAAAGATGTCGACAATCTGTAATACGATTGCGTATCAATGCCGATGAATGCAATGTTGAGTGGGTAAAAAGGCGAGTGGTGGGGTTAGATGCAAGACCAGAAGGAGGTGAAGAACGTGGAGGTGGTGGAGGATGAAGAGGGAAAGGGGCAAAGAAAAGGTAAAGCAAAGGGTAGAAGAGGTTATGAACTCTAACCCACGAATGGTCGACGTAGTGTGGTAGCTGCAATGAACTGTCCAAATGAAGCGTGGTCAGATCGGTCATCGTTGTTGGTGATAAAGGTGAGTAATATTTCTTAAACGAACTAACCTTTTTCTTTCTCATATTCAAACTGGCTGATGATTATTTTCCGACCTGTTCTCGGATTAGCCAGATACGCGTTAAATCTATGCTCGTATGTATTATGTCTACGTCGCAAACCGATCTGCGTGCACGCCCCTTTTTCAATTCCTTTCATTTAGCAACGTCCTATCTATAGAAATAGGGCCTCTTCTTTTACTTTCTTCCACTTTCTTCAATAGACTTCAACGTCCTTGAGAAAATATACCTTGCACCCGCTAGTCTCTTTACCGCAGACAAAGTATAGAAAAATGAAAGAGAGTATGTGTGTGCGTGTTTGTGTGTGAAAAAGAGAGAGAGAGAGAGGAAAACAGACAATAGGGAAGGAACGAAAGACAAGGAGTAGTAAGCAATCGCAGTCCTCTGTTCATCTGTGTGTGCTGCTGCTGCTTCTGCTGCTCGTGCTCGTGCTCGTGCTCGTGCTCGTCTATCGCTACCTGACGCAACGCGTACAATGAAAAAGAAAACCAAGAATTAAGGTAGGACGTTTGCTTTTGGATAGACATTTTTTTTTCTTTTTTCTTTTTTTTTTGGGGCCTTCCCGCGTGATACCTAACCCCTCTCTATCGCACCTATATACATAGTATACATACCTATGTATTTGTGTACGGTGCGCGCATCGTCGTGATTACCCAGCTGATCCATTCTTGGATCGAACTCAATGAGAAGAGCATTCCGAAACGTTTCAAAGTTTTTTTAATCGATGATTTTCTTTTTCTTTTTTTGAGAAAAACATCTCCTGATTTTAACACTTGTCTTTATAGATTTTCCTTCACTTTTATTTCACTACGAATTTTGGTATTTATTTAATGCAAACAGGTGTTCTGTTCTAATGATACAAATTTACAAAGGAAATGAGAGATAGAAATATTCCACGTATAGAAGAGGAAGAGGATGTCGCTACGTACGTTTTGTAGCACAAGTAGGAGGTGTAACCTTCGGACCCACAACGATGACCTTTACTTGCCAGAGACCGACTATCGTTGCGAACATAATTACTCTCCCAATGACTATTCTACGTCGTTGTTGTGTAGTAGTTCCTAGAATCCTCTTTACCTTACTCAAAATGGTCATTCGAAAGGTTACAAGCTGACCTCGATGAGTTCGTCCAACATTTGAAATATAGGAAACATAGGATTATTCAATATAAATTTTCGATTAGGTCCTTTCTTATTTCTTATCTAAAAGAACGTTAATACGACTCTAATGCATCGAACGATGCTGTATGTAACCTTGAAAAAACTTTGGTTTTGTACGCGATTTCTTATCAGATATTTTAATCTCACGTGTTATTTTTCCTGCATTATTCATTCCGTTCGTTTGGTGTTTTTTCTTTCTTTCTTATATGTATATATATATAGCTATAATTATGAACCGAACACATAGGTATGCGTACGTGTGTGATTGAGGGGGAGGAAGGTGCATGTTGTATACATACATCTGTAATCTATTCAATTGATCAACTTTTAGTAACCTTCGCGAGATTACATAATAATCATTAAAGAATCACAACGTATCTTCTTAAAGAATATAAGGTAAAATAAATCTTATTATTAAGATTGTTGTTCTCGAGCTTGTTGAATGTTCAAGTTTCATAGATCATCAGGAAATGTCGCCGTGGCCTTTCACCTTTTTACCGTCTCTCGGTCTGTCGATCTCTCGAAACGCCAAAGTGCACTTTTTAAACTACATTACGGATAACCACGTTAATATTTTTCAAGTCATCGTACTATTTTCAATAAACATCTACATTGGTAACTCGCGATAAGTGGCATAGATATGTACTGTACATATGTGCTAACCACTTGCGGGACCAACGTCCAAATATATTTAACAAGGCGTTTTCTTCATCGATCAAATATTTCTTTCGTACTTTGGCTAAATTTATCATTAGATATTCAATAATAATAGTCATTGCAAAAAAAAAAGTATATAAAATAAATATCCTAAATATAGATATCAGTCTATACTAAACTTAAGGGATATTTATCGACAAACTTAAATGATGTTAAATTTTGTCAAGTTACTTGAAAAAACTTTGTTAAAATATAAAAAAGAATAAGCTCGTAAATCTCAAGATACGAATATGAATTTGTTATCTATCGTATTGATAACAATTGTGTGACACATGACGAATCGATTAGTCATCATCTGTTAATAAATTAATAATCCATCGGAAGAAATAAACGGAAACGTTCTTATTAAGAAGTTGATCCCTGAAAGAAAACCGGAATACGGATTTACTAAAATTCAATCGTTTTGACAGTTCACTCAGGATTCATGCATAGTATATTTACTTGGGTGTACTTAAAGACAAGAGTTTGACATCGCTGTCAAATTTATTTTCAGTCGACCAGTGTCGTCACGTGCATGGTTTAATGTGCACATGTGTCTTCTTTCTGGTTTGCGTGAGCGAGCGAGCGCGCGCGCGCGCGTTCCCGCATGATGTCTTTCCGAACGACCTCGAGGTTCTCTCGGCCGATAAGTCATCGTAGGGCGTGCGTTACGTGACATAACCTGCGCGCTCGAGAACACGAGCCGCCGCCTCGACCACCGCACCATCCGGTTTTGCAACAACGATCGCCATCATCGTGTTGTACGTTCTTTCGTTCGTTCGTTCGTTCGTTCGTTCGTTCGTTCGCGTTCGTTGGTTGGTTGGTTGGTTGGTTGGTTGGTTGGTCGGTCGTGCGCGCGCGTACTCTCAGGTAGAAAAGCAGGCAAACGGGCCGCGAGAATGCACCTGGTACGATGCCGTGAGCGTCGCTACACAACAGAGTGACCTGCCAACCTGCCAGTAGTACGGAGAACGGCCTGCTCGTGCGCTCACCTGCGCATTAGAGCAACCTCTCTTTTTAACAAAACGAACACGACTACTAAACTTTAATCTTTGTAATTGCGCGATTATTATTTTCGGATTTTCAAACAATCTTTTCCTCTATCTATTTTATTGTTTACTTTCCTTATTATACATCATTACTATCATCAGCATATTCGTCGTCGTCGTCGTCGTCGTCATCGTCGTCGTCGTCATCGTCGTCGGCATCCTCTCGTATTCCAAGGCACGCAAGGTGCGATAGCAAACTCTCTGCATTCCTCTACGTTCCACGATTTCTCTCTTCCACCCGCTCCCTTCTTCTTACTCCCTCGAACCAAACCAACGATGAAATAACACGGTCTCTCTGCTGTGACGTTATTTTTCGTTCTTATCGTTTCCTTCTACCTTGCCCCTCTACCGCGACCTCCTCCTCAGAACGCGAGTCCTCGAAGGTCGCGACGACGGACGGATGCTGTGTGAACGGCGCGAAATGCCGAATTCGTAGTTTCCTTCGGTACGTTTGCTAAAGTTCTTCCTACTCTAGGAGAGGTAGGATTGTAATTCATACCTTCCTAAGGAATCGGATCGGCGAGTCTTCTCTTCCTCTTTTACTGTCTCTCGTGAGTTCTTACTACACTTCTACACTTTAAACATTTTTATAAACTATGTCGGCGGATTGAGGAATACAATTTTTTTTTTTTTAGAATAAAAATTACATTTAGAGCAAACAAGAGAGAGAGAGAGAGAGAGAGAGAAAGGAAGGAAGAAAGAAAAAAAGGAAACGTAATACACGCCTCGATTGACCTTTCGTACAACGGGTACACCGCAAGGCGAGTGTAACTCGCCAAATCGAGGCTACGGAATTGTCGACGTTCCTTGTTCTTTTTCTTTTTTTCTTTGTTTTTATTGTAATTTTGTTTTACATCACATGACTTAAATTAAAGATAAAAAATAGAAAAAGGTAACGAAATCTAACTGGCTATGGCCATGACATTTTTCTAGCAAGTGTTAACGATAAGCGCAAACCATATACCTTTCGTTTCTCTTTTCATTGCAGCTCATTGTGTCATGTCGATCGTCATTCTTATTATTTTTCTTTCTTTCTTTCTTTCTTTCTTTCTTTCTTTCTTCCTTTATTTTTCTTCGCGTAATCTTCCGTGAAATCACGTAATCTAATATATTATCAATTCTAAGAAAAGTCGCTTTATCTGTACAATGCGCGATCGATTTCACGATTCGATTTGAAAAAGCCGCCTTTGATCATCATGATGCTTCCGCGAATCTTCTAATATAAAATTGACGTCTCAACTATTATTTACATTATAATTTTGAAACACGTATGTAAATCAATATGGATGTAATTTTCTATATAATGCGATTATGACGCAGCATGTAAAGGAAAGATTTCTCTCTCTCTGTCTCTCTCTTTCTTATTTTTTACAGTTAAATTCACGTGTAATTCAATGTGTATGAGAGTGTGAATGTGTGTTGTTAGTGTGAAGGAAGTATTCGAAATTGTTGTTGTAGTAGTAARCAAGCAAGCAAGCAAGCAAGTTAATTACGTCTTGAGAATAAGGTGTAGGGGTACCAGTAATAGATAGACACGACACTGAGAGTATTCGGTTCATGGGTGTATGGAAATGGACCGCTTGCTGTTCTATGACAGAAGGAAGGTAAGGTAAGGTAGCCGCGTGTATCGACATCCACCAAACCCGCGCGTAGCAACCTACGAACCGAACGAACCACTTGGGACCATCTCTTTCACTTCTTAAAATGGTAGGGGTGAGGGTTTACGGTAGGTGGGGAGGAGGAGAAGTACAAGGAGGAGAGAGGACGAATGCTGCTCCAGTTTAATGTTTTTATATTGCTAGCTTCTAAACCCCACCTCCTATTTCTCCTCTTCCTCCTCCACCCTTTCCATCAAGAGTAGATATTATATCACGTTTTACTTTGTCTTTTTTCATTTACCTCTAATCGATCATGATAATCTGAAACTTTTCGATTGTTGTTATCGTTTGTTTGTTTTCTACTATATACTTGACTATCGTCATGTTTTAATTTATAAATGACACAATTGTTTATTTAGTATATTGAACAAAAAAATATGAAATTAAAGTTCAAATGATTGATGATAGTGTTGTCAGGGATTGGTACTATTGGTCATCTATTTACAGGGAGAAATGGATAGGGAGCACAGAGATCAGCGTGATCACGATAATTCTAATGAGAACGAAGGAGAACGGAAAAGTGGAATGGATTTTCGTAGTATCTCCCATTCTCATCACGGAGTACCCGATCTTTCGACGGATGCTGACTCGGAGGTGCATGCATTTCTCTTCTTATATGTTTCAATATTTTTCTTGTATATATTTTTTTTTTTTCACAACAAGTCTAATTAGAGATAAAAGAAATTCGATGAAATTATTGTCGATTATAGTATACTTGAACGTTTATCGTTATGTCGCAGAGAGATATGGAAATCGATCAAAATGATCGGCCTGAAAACTTGCACGACGATAAAACGGATCAAATGTTGGAAAGAAATTTTCACTATTTAGAGCATCATCCAGCTATGGTACATGCCTGCTGAATAAGTCCTTTGCGTTTGTGTGATAAACGTTTATGAGATATATCATTTAGACCTTCGTTCCATTTTATGCATATTCCAAAGTTTGTTGTAACGTTTGCTGTTTTTCTTAGAGAGATATTGAGAGAGATCAAAACAATCACATGGATAACTTGCATGACGATAAAATAGACCATAAAATGAGTAGAGATTATCGCAATATGGGACATCATCCAGCCATGCTTCATTTATCCTCTGGTATAGAACACTTGAATAATGTCGATGTAGAGGTAAGAATTATCTTTTACGTATATCCTTGATCGTATCTCTCATTTTAAAGTTATTTATAAATTTGGATTGTTTTCAGGTTAAATTGTCAAGAGACGTTAGAGGTTCTTTAGGTTTAGGATTATCCTTAGAATTATGTGTTGTATGTGGAGATCGAGCAAGTGGTAGACATTATGGAGCTATAAGTTGCGAAGGCTGTAAAGGTTTCTTTAAACGTAGCATTCGTAAGCAATTAGGTTACCAATGTAGAGGAAGTAAAAATTGCGAAGTTACCAAACACCATAGGAACCGCTGTCAATATTGTAGGCTTCAAAAGTGCCTGGCAATGGGTATGAGAAGTGACTGTAAGTGGATACAATCCCTTTAATTAATTATTCTAATATTTTGGTTGTATCGCACTTTTTTGGGGGATATAATAAACATGATCCAGCTTGGGGTGTTATAGCCGTTCAACACGAACGAAAACCAGTATTAGGAGAAACTGCTGGAGCTAAAGTTGGGAGTCGTAATCCCAGAGTCAAACCAGAACCACAACAACCAGTCCCCGAAGCTCCACAAACTTGGGAACAACCTGAAAGTCCTTGTATGGAAGACCAAAGCAGTGACAGTGATTTGAGCGATGCTCTGACGCTTGCTAGGGACCGTTTATTAATATCTCATGCATTGGATAGCATAGCTAAATCTATTGGTGATGTACGTTTTATTTATACATAGTATTAAATAAATATTATGAAATTAAAATAGTACATTGTTTCTTGTAGGGTGTAAATGGTTCCAGTGAACCAGACGAAGAGTGGACAGGTCAGTTAATCTCAGAGAGGCATACATTGTTCGAGTTAAGAGCACCTAGTCCTGCACCTGCATACTTATCTATACATTACATCTGTGAAAGTGCAGCAAGGCTATTATTTTCGTCTGTACATTGGGCAAGAGGGATTCCTGCTTTTCAAGCTTTACCGTAAGTACTCGGTAAATAAACAAATTGTATAATATTCAAAATATATTGGATAAAAACGATTATATAATCATCTTTTTACAGATCAGAAATCCAAACTACGTTGGTGCGTAGTTGCTGGGGACAGTTATTTACACTGGGTTTAGCACAGTGTGCATATACTTTATCCCTTCCTAGTATTCTGACATCCATTATAAATCATCTACAAACTAGTATCGCGCAAGAAAAAATTACGGCTGGCAAAGTGAAATCTGTTACAGAACATATATGCAGATTGCAAGACTGCGTTAGTTCTCTTCACAAATTGCAAGTAGATTCCGTCGAATATGCCTATCTTAAAGCATTGACGCTCTTCAGTTCGGGTAAGTAAATTTATAATAATTATGTATATATATTATGAATAATTCAAGAGTTATATTGTTTTATTATGTTGTCAGATAATGTACTGGTTGGTATTTGGCGTAAAAAGGTTGAAGCGCTACAGGAAGCAGCATGGACGGAATTAAAACAACGAGTAGGATCTGATAGATTACCTCGTCTTTTATTAAAACTTGCACCTCTTCGTACGATTAATCCTAGAGTGTTAGAAGACCTTTTTTTTGCGGGTCTTATTGGTAGAGTAAGCGTAGCTAGTGTAGTGCCTTATATTCTGACCATGCAAGATTGTAAATCAGAACCTGAAAGTCACAAGGGGTGACAATTACTCTTAGTGCAATGTAAGTCGTGACCTGAAAAGGTGATATATTTATAAATGATCACAGGATGCTTATATAGTATATTTTTCTATAAGGATAAATATGAAGATCTATAAAGCACAATGTATTTTTATATATATCCTGTAAAAAAACAAACAATTATCAATTATCTTCCTGTTGTTGAAAGAAAACATTTATTTGTGATATTATCGGATATATTGTTATAATATGTTGTGTTAACATTAATTGAATTTATGCAATAGTAATTGGTCGATATCTGATCGAATTTGAATATTTTATAAAAGATTATTAAATGATGACATTTTGAAACATTAACATCTAACTTAAAGTAAGAGTGCCTTGCAATAATATATTATGTATGCGAAATATTGTCTTATATCGTATATCTAAACATCAGATGGATTTGTATTTTACCTATTCATATTTTTTCAAACAATAATATTTCATAATTTATTATTAGTAAGGGCGTTGCCTCTTACCAAAGTAGTACTTCATTTGTATTTTATGTTATATAATAAGAATCACAATTTTATTTTACTGTTAACAAAATTTTTATATCAATTTCCTTTATCACATAATTTCATTAAAAAAAATCTTTCAAAAGCAAACACAAGAAACGTGAAAAAAAATCTATTTCATACAGGATATTAGAAAAATTCATAACTAAATAAAGATAATTTGAAAGTATAAATATATTTTAAAAGGAAAAATATACGACTTGGATCACGTCATCGTAATCACTGATTTATAAATGGTTCTTTTACTTATTCATGTGACATATGATGTGACAGATGACTGATGATAATACTGCATTTTTCGCAATATTATTATTTTTATTATTTTGTCATTATTTACGATTATTGTCAAAAATCCACATGAAAGAGTACATTGAACAATAGACTATTATTGTGTTTATAAAAAGGACACTGTGTATATATTATATATACAAATTTTCTTACGAATTTAGCATGCATATACTTAATATAGATTAAGAAAATGAAAAGATGACATATGTGCTTACTTAATTACGTGTAAAAATAACATTTCATATTTTATTATTGCGCTTAATTATCAAAAGGGAGGAACCGATCTTATATCGGATTAAAAATAATTCAACAATATTTTTATATAAATGTTATATTTACACTTATCTTTATTGTAAAATAAAACAGTAATGGGGTATATTATTTTTGAAAGATAATAATATTTTAGAATTAGACTACTTTTTAGTGCACAGGGGTGGGAGGGGGGAGTGTTAATAAAATTCACACTTAGAGATATTTTTTCATAGTTACATAAAGTCATAGAATATATTTGAAAAAATTCTATATATGTATTATTAATAATACGATATTGTAATATACGAATAGGTTTAACTCTTGTTAAATAATTCATAAAATTAACAATAACAACAATTAATTGTCTGGATAAAATGAAATCTTACTAAAATTAAGTTTTTTGTACAAAAAGTATTATAAAGTAACATTTTATACAAAATAGTACTAAAAATGTTACATAAAGTGAGTCAGTATTGAAAACTGAATTAATGATTGCACACGCACGACATATATATTCTTATATAACGTTAAATTACCTTACATGAAGTTTAAACGTATAAAACTATTTTCGTGTGTTACATGAAGTTGTTGAAACAGTATATCTTTAGTGCATCAATTAGTCGATGGACAATAAGAAATTGGAAAAGGAATGAAGATAATTAAGGTGTACATAGAAAAATGTGCCTATATATATATATCCAAATATTTATATCAGTTTAAATTTTGTAATTAATACACGTAAGTAAGTAAGTAAGTAATCAACTAACGGAACTAACTCAAAATAATACTTTTTTTTTTTTTTTCGATCAGAGAGACCTGAAATTCGTTGCCTCTTTTTTTCCTACGTTCATCAACAACTTTTCAGTGTAAATATATAAATATATACATATATATTTATAATATACATATAAATAAATATATATATATTTATAATATATGTATATTATAATATTTGAAATAAAATAAAAGTAAAAAAAAAAACAATTAATACTATTAATAATAATAATAACAATAATTATAATAAAGTTTATATTATCTCATAAAAAGTGTACAATAATTGTCATTCCTGTTATTAATAATGTCACCTATCTTTAAATAATTCACCGATAAAAATATTAACTCGTATTTAGGATTTACCTGTAGGATCTCTCGATCAAAGGACTCTACCGATCATAATTGTCCTGTATATCCTGAATTTTAAGCGCCTAAACAGCAACCACGCACGAGCTGAATAATTTATTGACCAAATAAAAGCATACATTGCCTAAATTGATTCTTTTCTTAAAAGGTATTTTATTAATATACCAAAGCTCGTTAAAATCCGCTCGGTCACATCCGTAATGTTTCCTTGATGAGTAAGTAGAAAGAGAAGGAAAAGAATGACGATAGTACGAGAAGGTAAAAATAATGAGGAGGAGGAGGAAGAGAAAGAGAGTCAAACTATTGAAAGAAAGGAACCTTACGATGTCTCAGTATAGATACGGCCCTGAGGCGTATGAGTCATATCCTAAGATTGCCTGTAGAGGCGCCTCGAAGGCCCGTTCCTTGTCGTACGCAGTCATCTCTCCCTCTCTCTCTCTCTCACACACACGCACACAGTCACCATTTTTATATGCGTGCGTTGTGCGTGCGTGCATGCATATGTACTTTGTGAATCGGTTTTTCGTGCTGCTAGAAGAGAGACCACTCCGAGAGCGTGGAGAGAGGTTGTGGTGTGTGCTTTCATGAGGTTTGCTTTTGAGGTTTGTCGTTTAATCGAAGGCTTACCGGTAGCAACGAGAATCACCGACGAATATCTTATCGTTCATCGTTCGTCGCGTATTATCATGAAAAGAAAAGTGTTCGATAAATTTTCATTTGTGACTCTCGTTGAAAGACATTATTAAAGGAGAACACGGAGAAAGACCAAGAAAATACAAAAGGGAGAGAGAGAGAGAGAGAGAGATATCACTTCGTGAAGCTTCATTTAATTATTTCTACTCGTGTTAGGTGGTAACCCCCCTCCCTTCCCTTAGTTCTTCCTAAAAAGGATTTTTAAGGGTGAACGCGTGGTACAGGGTTGACGAACTGGTTTCTTATTAAAAAGAGAACAAGTAATATTCTTTTTCATCTGGTTAACGTCGTCAGTCGAATTTAACTTTCAAACGAAAAAGAAAAAGAAAAAAAAAAACTAACCAGAATAGAACGATGATAGTTGTGTTTGTGTTTTTGTGTTCGCACGCGTTTCATCGTTATAAATAAATCAATCGATCAATTAATTAATCGATTGATAAATAGATCGATCGATCAATCAAGGATAAGAAGAATAAGTGTGAATATAATCGTGAGTGTTTTTAAAAGCCCCCATCTGTTTAATCTTCGTCTATTGTTTTTCTACTTTTTTTTTTTTTTTTATTTATCTTAATTGATTCATTGTCAAATGGTGAAAAATGGTAATATGTATTATTTGAATTACGTTTCACAGAGAGAAAATAACGATTCGATTCGATTGAGTTTATCAAGAAGGGGGAAAAGATAAAACTACGATTAATACACTTCCTTTTAACCGTGGTTATGAAGTAACCACAACGACGAAATTAATTTCTTTTTTTTTTTCGCGGAAAATATCATTTTATTCAAAATCAAAGAGAATCATCATCTTTAAGGTAACAAAAAAAAAAGAAAAATAATTCGTCTTAACTATTATACTTTTAACTTTGAATTATTTTTATTCGAATCAAATTGTCATTTGGTAATTTCATTCGAAGTACATTCATTGTATAATATTTTAATACACATAATATAATAGTCTATGGACTCTCCGCATCGTGCAACCTCCTTCGCCATTCTGAATAATTTCGACGAAAGTGTCCTCCCGGTTAAGAGCGTGCTACATGGTGGGGGAAATATAAAAAGAGAAAAGAGTGCGATTGGAGGGAAGAAAAAGAAGGAATGAAAGAGATAGATAGATAGATAGATACAGAGGACAAAAACAATATACCTTTAAGCGGTATAATCGTTTTATCTTAACCATCAGATTTGTTCTGATAATTTGATAAACGTTTATGATCATCAAGAGGTTCTTGCATAACAGGATGATCACGAAAGCATCTTGCTCAGTCTCGTTTTCGAGTCGAGGAACGCGTCGTCGTCGTCGTCGTTGTCGCCGTCGTCAATCCGAAAGAACACTTGTCGCGTTTGCGATGCGCGCGCATCATCTTTGCTACGACAAGTAGAAAGAGAGAAACGAGAGACACTGGCGGCTACTTTTTTTGTTTTTTTTTTGTTTGTTTCGTCCTTTTTTTCTTTTTCTTTTGAAATACTTTCCAACGAAAAGACCCGCGAATATCGTGCGCGCCAACTCGATCTGACGACAACGCAAATTCATTGGCTCGATTTCTCTTTAGTTTTCAGCTTACATTAACTACACGGTTAATAATCCATTAGTTTAAAACTTTAAAACCATTAGTAATCAAACACGTTGGAAAAGCTTCCTTTTTTGATCGTTTCTCTAACTCTCTTTCTCTCACTTTCTCTGTGGGTGCGCGTGTGTTCGCGTGTTTTATTCCTTTCTCCGCTTATCCAGGGACGTGCATTTTCTAGAAGCTTTTGCTTTCGAGACAAGAAAACGCGGGATTTTCAAAATTGAGCTTTATTCATTTTCTCGAGAGATTATTTTTCCACTTACTACGCACACATGCCGAAGTCTGGTTCTAAGTGGAGATTCTGGAGGTCTCTTTTATTTATTATCATTAATGTTTAAAGTTTTAATTATTTTCTCTAAAGCACAATTGATCTGGAACGTGAGAAGAGCAATAAAATTTCATTTATCGTATATCCGATCAATTTTATCGCCAAACATTTACGCGAGTATTGTGTATATACATCAATTTCGATATCTTTACGCACATGTATATTACATCCTACGATCGATATATCGTTCCTATATCGACCACAATGCCGCAACGTTGTTGAAACTATTGCTTTCTTATTGGTCGGTTCATTGTATCGTTGAAAAAACGCACCAATGGCGAACCGTCGTGCATCATTGCACTGCGGTTGGATCGAAGCCCGGCATTGTGTTATTATTATTTTTTTTTTCTTTTAATGCTTTGCGCGCGTGTGTGTGTGTGTGTGTATTTTTTAATTTTCTTTTTATCATTTTAAGATTCTATCAAAAATAACTTATTAATAATTGAATGAAACAATCGAACGATTTTATTGTAATCGTTAATATAATCTTATTGCTATCATCATACTACCATGACTTGCATTTCTTTGAATTTTTTTTTAACATTTTTCTATAATTTTTATCTAAAAACTACTAGAGTCTTTTAAAGAAAGTACAATTTATCGATCTTGTAGAAACGCGATACGTTTAATATAATATTTATGACAGTATGAATATTTAATCGTAAAGTAAAGATCGATAAATGAAAGGTATATTAAGAGATCGAATAGCTCACACTGGAAACGCTTATCGTACGATATGTTTATCCATTTATTCATTTATTCATTTACAATAGTATACTGCATTTGTTATGCACTATATGCTATTGTAAAATTGAACAAAAAAGTTGTAGAAGATCGTTAGGAAGCGTACGTCAAAACGAAGTTACGATTTATGACGTAATGGCACTATCACTTTGCGCGCGCCATTACGAGTAAAAATCATTTAACGAGCCATAATAATATCTATAGGAAATACGCGTAATGCATTTATACGTTCATCTTGTTCGTTATATACGAGAGAGGATCTTTGTTAACCCATACGTTTGGAAATACTTCATTATCATATTACAATATGAATATCATTAATTAACGATCCCCCCTTCCTCCTCCTGCTCCTCCTCCTTTTCTTATACCACTGAAAACGAATTACTCATCAATTAATCATTACACTTATTTGTTATTAAAGAATTATCTGTCTTAAACGCGTAACATTGCTATTTATGATCATGCACAACTAGCATGAATGATATTATATTTTGCAGAAAGCCAAAGAGGGCTCCAGTAGAACAAAAAAAGGAAGAGAAAGAGGAATCGAATAAGGGTAAACGTAAACACGAAGAGGAAGATAAGGATACGATAAATCATAAAAAGGCTGAGACTACTGGCACGAGTCAGGATTGCAAAAGAAAAATGATGGAGAATATGTTGCCTAAATGTGATGCGCGTCTTCCAAAAATGACCCCGATAACTGACGATTACGAGATCAGTAATCATGTTTTGGGTCTTGGTATTAATGGAAAGGTCGTACAGTGTTTCGATAGAAAGACTAGGGAAAAGTATGCCCTAAAGGTAAGAATGATTTTCATTTATATATCATTGCATTGAAATATTTTTCCTTTAATTACTACTAACATCATTACTGATAAAACAATTGCAGAAGTTTTATTCCAATATGTTGGATACTAATGTCCAAACATTATTCTTCTTTTAATTATACTAATAACAATCTTGAAGCTTCTTACATCTGTTCGCAATTTGTTCTACGTGTCGTACATATGTGTCTTTTTATTATTCTCTTTTTGTTATATCAGCAGTGTTGATAGTTTAAACGCACCGAGTTAAGATAGGATAGTCAAGAGATTTGTATATTCATTTTAACGACAGCCGCCAACTCTTTTAAGTTTGTTTAGTTTCTTTTCCTTATACCAAACGTTTGAAGAATCTAAATAATGAATACTTTGAAGACAAAAAAAATGAAGAAGATTTATATATATATAATGTACATATCACGACGTGACGTGATGTAGGTAGGCATATATGCATATGTATATATATGAATATCACCCTACAACTCCGTCTATTTTTTAAACATCAAACCGACTAGGTTACGAAGGAAAGGATGATGCCACGTGTTTCCATTAGAGGCATTAAACCATTTTCTTTCTTTTTTTTTTTTCTCATTTTGTACGTGTCTTTTTTCCCGTAAGAGCATCGATCCTATCTTGTCAATGCGCTCTTATGTTAGATATTCACTTATGCTACGAGGAGGAGGTGCGATCATCATCGACTAACGATATCCAACAAGCAAGTCCAGACCACGAGTCATCCTCTATTTATACCCAGTGATTTCCCATTCGGTTGGTATAACACGACGCTATACATTTACGTCTTATCCTTTTGTTTCCTTTATCATCCAAGATTCAAATATATATATACATATATATATATATATTGTCGATTCGTGCCAAACATGACGTGTTTTCTCAATATACGTCATGATATTTAATCAATATAGTTCTCTGATAAAATAAATGTTTCTCGATAAGAACGATTTAATATTGGGATAGTCACTAAACGTAATGTCGTTGAAAGTTTTTACTTTTTTTTATATTATTTTAATTTGTATATTATAAAAAAGATGATCGGTAAGAAAAATTTATTATTTATTTAATTATTTGTTTAATCGAATATACTATTAACGTATATTTACGTTTTAATATGTTCTTATCATTTAATAAGAAAATATATATATTCGATTACAAATAATTATTATAAGATTTACATATTGTGCTTTGGAATTGAAAACTTCATTATAAATCATGAAATAACTAGTTCGAATATAAATGCAGCTGTTCAAGGCATTATTTCCACGGTCGTTATATATGAGTAAAGCGGTTGATCTCGAATAAAGATAATATATGTATATATATATACATACATACATATAAAGTGCCGATGACCGATTACGCGAATCATGGAAAATACTCTCTTCGTACACGTGTTCTGCGTGCGATTCTTTATCCTATCGAGCACAATTTTACGAGTTTTAACACCGGTATTTCCTGCACCATTGCCTACACACTTTTTCTTTTTATTTTCTTTTCTTTTTTTATTTTTTCATTCCTTAAGATCGATTTCGTCATGGGTTGACGTCATGCGATACGAATTCTCGGAAAACACGTTACAAATAATAAAATAAATCTATCTTCAAATACTCGTTAATAAATAAATTGATTTTGGTGATTACATTACATTACATTAAAAGAAGAGATTTGTGTGAACATTTTCATAGAGAATTTGATACTAATTTATATGTTCATATTAGAAACAATTTTTACAAACATTATCTACGAAGATTATTATTTTCTTTTTATTTAATTTGTTTTAACTCACTGATTTTCGAGTGGTACGCAGAAATACGCGGTTATTTTTGAAATAAAAATATAATTTATATTTATATAAATATATGAAATAAAGTTTTGAAAGCCCTCTTTTATGATACGATATTGTGTTAGGTCAAATTTATCGATGACTAATAAATTATCCATCATTTTCGCGAGTTTCGATTTTACTTCGTGATGACTTTAAAAGGAATACACACACATATATATGTTTCAATGTAAAAAGGAATATTGGTTATTGAATTTTTTTTAATAGTTGCATAGGTTCGTTGTAGCGTATCAATAAGTCATAGATATAGTACATGTATTGATGCTTAAACAACGTGATGATCTCATGCTATCCACCACCGAAATGGTTAAAATCCTGTTCCCAGTTATCATTCGGTTTCTCAATTGAAAATATTCCAAAGTCAAAAGGGGAATCCTATAAGATCACTGTGATAACAGACAACGTTCACGAGTTGCTAATTACCTAATTAATTCTATATATATTCTATATAAGCAATTGCTTAGAGTAAATAAGACGTAGAGTAATAAACTTATGAGCATGTGTAGCTATTGCAATAATATTTCATGGTGTGACTAAAAATGTCCCACCGTGTATTATACGGTGTATCAAAAAGGTAGGACACTTTTAATCCCACCGTGCTCCAAAGGGTTAAATCGTTTATTTACAACACGTTTGCTTTAGCGTTTATTTTTATGATCTGATTGATGTATTTTACATCCTGTATTTTACAGCTCAATTAATGCATTTACCGGAAAAAAAAAAGAAAAACTCTAGTTACTTGTCATTTATACACATAAATATCATCGTCGTTGTTAAATACGATAATTGACAATGACTCTAATAAGACATATAATGAATTGTATGAGATAAAAATATAGTTCTTAGTAATTATTCTTCTTTCATTACTTTCTCGACAAAAATGATGAATATTTGCAAATATTTCAATACATGGTCAACGTTAAAAAAAAGAAAAAAAAGAAAGAAAGCGCGAAATTTAGAATCATTCGAATATAAATCATGTCTATATTTAATAACAAATATTTATACGTAGTAAACGTAAAGAAAAATGTGTGAAATAAGTTTGTTAATATCGTCTTTTGTGCCGTATCATGCACCGTCTGCAACCTACTTTTTTACTGTCAATTCGTCCTCGTTGATTGATACCCGGCTGTAAACCTTCAAACTGCCACCATTTAAAAACCGCATTATTGCGGTTTTACTTTTCGTTCTTTGCCTTGTGTAAAAACATTTTGCCATCTTGTTAAATGCTTCTATATTTATACTTTCTATATTTTATTATACCAAATTAAATCCGATCATATATACAAACAAAATATATTATTCAGTTTAATTTAACCTGTTAACCGGGCGGGGGGATGTATAAATACGTTAAACATATTTTTTATGTATTTTATATATAAATAAATGAAAAAAATATATAATTCGTAGTATTTTCATTTATTTTCAGCATAAATAATAATAAATAATAAATAATTAAAAAAGTTGTATAATTAAAAAGGAAATTCCCCGGTTAACAGGTTAATAAGAATCAGCATTTCAAATTTATATCCGTTGTATTATTTTCCTCAACATTTTATCAACATATTTTATAAATTCTAAATTCTAAATTTGAAAAAGAAAAGAAAAGGAAATCCCTCTTATTTAATAAATAAAATATTAAAAATAAATAAATAAAATCTAAGAAGAGCAGAGCCGGTTTTTATAGCCAAAAAAGCGAAAAGATTAAAGACCGTATTTAGAATTTACATTTTTCTTCCGTTGTCACGTGATTTGTTTTTCAATAAGTTTAAAAAAAAAAACACTGTATTTTTTTTTTCTTAAAATTAATTATCTCAACGACGCTGTTTGTCATATTAATATTGCAGTTTTGTTCCATTGATTCAAACCGTCACGATATTAATCTTATTACGAAGACTTTGATCATTTTATGATCGACAGGTCTTGTCTATCTTTTTTCTCTTTTTTGTTTTTGTTTTTGTTTTAACTGTCGATGTTGTTCTCTTCTTTCGCATTTCCTTTTACAGCAACGAGAATGACTGAGTGATATTGGACATTGATGTTGGTCTAGTTTTACCCTTTGCACTCGATGCAATTTCATAGATCTTCCTATGTTTTTTTTTTTTTATTTTTTTTTTTTAAGAAATATGTAAACAGAAATCGTGTTCTATTAAATAATTTGAAAATCAAGAATAATAATCATTGTAGAAATATCTATGTGTCTCATAAACTATTGACGATTTGATTGTGTATATAAATAGCAAGTGGTGTCGTATCTAAAGAACCGTGTAATAGTATTATTTCTATGCATAAGCATTTCATGATAATATTTTATTACAAACAAGTATTTAATTACATGTCTTCTCTATCACATTTAAAAAAAAAAAAAAAAGAAAAAAATAATAATAAACAGGTGTAAGAGATATAGTGAAACATCCTGTATAAACAGGTACAGGTATATGAATATATACTTTCTTAAGAAATATTCGATGAGAGTTCGATGGAAATGCGGAAGTTGGGAGTACAGTTATGAATACTTAAAAAGCCTGAAAATATCAAAGGTATTAGAATTATAGAGAAATAAAGAAGTGTATACGTGAGCAGGAGGTGTTAAACAGAATTTCATTAGTATCTCGAAATTTTCAATCCAAAAAAAAAGAAAATATTTTCACCGTTCTGACTTGAAAAATTGATACTCAAGTTAAATGTTCATTATTTCTGCATAATGCATTAGTTTTTTGTTTATATCATATACGATGTGAATGAAATACGGACGAAAGTCTTTTTCAACTTTCTTTCAAATTGAAAACGTAAAACGCTTTATAACCTTTGAATATTATTTTTAGATCAGGCACGCGATGAAAACGTTATGTTACAAACAAACGGGCGGTCAACCGCGTGATTTCTTATCACGTTTTATTTTTTGATTCGATGTTAAATATTTGTGAGTGAGTGAGTGAGTAGTAAAAAAAGAAAAACAGAGTGATGAATCGTTTTCTCCTTTTTTTTTTTTAATTTTTTTTTTTTTTTTTTACTTTTTCTTTCTAGATCGTAAAAGTTCTCCTAGATTGTGTTACAAAATTAAATCGTATCGATAAATTATTGTGTCGACGAGAAATGTATAAATTAAAAGAAAAAAAAATTAAGTATATCCGTTTGTTTGCCAACATCTCGTAATTTATTATTTCCCTGTGTGTGTGTGTGTGTGGGTGTGTATGCTGCAATAATAGATTTTAATTAATAGAAAAATGATATCGTTCGTCTTATACTCGAATGACACACGATGTCAATTTTTCTCACAATCGGTATTATAGTTCACGTTCCGATCCTCGTTATTTCAAGTCTCATTACTTAATAAGCAAACGTTGCCAGTGACACACACACACACACGCATACACATACATACATCGTGATATATATTTAGAAATACATTGGTATTTAACAATGTTAAGTTTTCACATAGATCATTTAATCAACATTACGAGAAGACGTTAAATCTTGAACGATTTTACAACTGGGGTTTCTCTATTTAACATTGAAATCATTCAATTGATTAAAAATTGAATAAATTGAAAAATTAAAGTAAATTTAGTAAAGTAAGCTCTATTTGATCGTTTTGAAAATTAATAAAACAACTTTAAGTGTAATAAAATAACTTTAATGATTTCTTTTAAGTGATCATTAAAAGTTTAATGAATAAGGAAATTCTTATAATGAACGAACTTTATAAGAAAACGTTAAAACATTAACTGTATTTTCATTTGAATGTATAAATTTGATCATTAACGTAAAAATAAAAATGAACAATCGTGAATTTAACAAATCTACATTTATGAAAATTATTCAAAGTTTTCTGCGTAGATAACATTTTCTTGATATACAAAGAAAAACAAGAAGAAGTACAAAGTCAACGTTACGAAGTATAAGTGGAATGTTGTTTCCTGCGCGTACACACACACACATACACATTTCATCGAGTTTCATATATATATACATATATATATATAAGCGTATTCTTAGTTCCTTCGAATGTGTGAATTACATTTGCATGCATTTTTCATAGACACATGTCATAAGTGGAAAAACGTATCACATACTTACAGATTTTTAACATAGATCACAGGTGCGTGTCATTTAGTGTTGGTTCCAAAAAAGTTCTCGAAATTATTTTAATATCATTCAAATACTATATATATATACATGCATGTAATCTTAGCATCTTATATAATTAAATATTATTTATTTAAATATTTTTTACATTTAGAAGAAATTAACAAAGTTGGATTAGTCATCGCAAATAAAAACTACTCGTCGTATCTTTGTCGATGATTTCTATTTTTTCTTTTTTTTTTTTTTTTAAAAACCATTTAATCTCTTTGTACACCCCGTCGATTTAATTTACTTTAGTGATACGCGTATACGCGTATGTATTGCGTGCATATACGTGTGTAAAGTCGTCATTTATCAATTTGGATGTTTGTTTACTCTCATTTTTTCACCTTCGCATCTTTAAGTTTTTACACTCTTTGGTTTGTTGGAAATAGTTAAAATAGAAGAGAAGATAAAAAATTACTTCTACCGAGAAAAGAATTCTTTCTGCTGGTGACGTAGATGTTTCTAATAAATAGAGTACGGCACGAGGCGTGTTTGAGAAAAGTATTTTTTCTTTTTTTTTTTATCTCTTCCTTCTTCTTTCAAATTTCTAGAAGTTTTAATATGAATCACATCAAAGATGTTAAACACATAATAGAATGATCTTACTAATGTATAAGTATTAAATTTCTCGAGTGTGTTATAACATAGAGAATATTTTATTAATTTCTAGGTTTTACATGACTGTGTCAAAGCAAGAAGAGAAGTAGAATTACATTGGAGAGCATCCAATTGCAGACACATAGTTCAAGTAAAAGATGTATATGAAAATTCGTATAGTGGCAACAAATGCTTACTTGTGGTAATGGAATGGTGAGTAACAATTTTTAATTGGATTATTTCATTGAATCCTATGAAAAATTGTTCATTTATTATAATTGTTTTTATCTGTCTAGCATGGAAGGTGGCGAATTATTTCAAAGGATTCAAGATCGGCAAGACTGTGCTTTTACGGAAAGAGGTAAAAATGCAATTTCACTATTTTTTGTCTTCCTTCGTTTCTTTTCACTTTTGTACGATAACGTGAATATTATTTAAATATTTACAGAAGCTGCACAAATAATGTACGAAATATGTGTTGCGGTGAAACATCTGCACGATATGAATATTGCTCACAGAGATCTCAAACCGGAAAATCTTTTGTATTCAAAGCCAGGTAAATGAAAAATCATGTGTACATTATTTTATCCCTGTCTCCTTTGTTAAATGTCAATTAATTTCATTATTTTTTATAGATAAAACGGGAATTTTAAAATTAACCGATTTTGGATTTGCCAAAGAAACACATATGAAAGATAATTTACAAACACCTTGTTATACGCCATATTATGTTGGTAAATATTCTTTTTCTTTTATTATTATTATTATTATATAATAATAATGTCTTCTTATTACTAACAAATAAATTGTTTTGGAAATATTTTAGCTCCAGAAGTTCTGGGACCAGAAAAATACGATAAAAGTTGCGATATTTGGTCGCTCGGTGTAATAATGTATATACTGTAAGTGAATTTCATAATTAAACAATAAGACAAATTTGTCAACGTTTATCGGATTATTGATGTCAATGATTTCTATAAAAATTGTCTATAAAAATTGTTTATAAAATTCACAGGTTGTGCGGCTTTCCACCGTTTTATAGTAATCACGGTTTAGCGATATCACCTGGAATGAAAAAAAGAATTCGTTTGGGTCAATATGATTTTCCTTCTCCAGAATGGTCAAATGTAAATGTACAAGCTCGTGATCTCATAAAAGGAATGTTATGCACGGATCCGGCGCAAAGATTGCAAATAGACGAAGTGATGCGCAATAAATGGATTGCCGTATGTTGAATTATCTAATTTCATTTGAAACGATTGATCTGATAATTATAAAAGTACTTTCAAGTTATTTGAGATATTTCATCATTAACATTTAAACCATTTGTCAAGAATAAACAATTAAAAAATATTTTATAAAATTCAATGTCAAATATAAAAATACATCGAGACGAAAATAATATGAATGAAACTACTTTTACAATCATCTACAGAATAAATAAAAAGATATATTGTTTTTTTTTTTATAGAAATACACAGAAGTGCCTCCTACACCATTGCACACTGGTCGTGTATTAAGAGAAGGTGAAGAACTTTGGCCCGAAGTACAAGAAGAAATGACCCGTTCGTTAGCTACAATGCGGGTGGATTATGATACCGCAAATCTTAAACAACTCGATCATAGCAACAATCCATTATTAAACAAACGTAGACGCGCTAAACAAGCAAGCGCTATTCCAGCAACCGCTAATCCTACACCAGCTTCCTAGGAGAATGTTTTACGAGCCAGACAAAACTGGCAACTTTTGATACGCAGATGCATTAGATATAGCATTATTACAATGCGGATTGTTTTTTGACGACTTGCATCATCATGCAAAGGAAACAAACTTGCAAAGTAGATAACTATTATAAAAGAAGCCAATTGTGTGCATATGAGTGCACATGCATCTATACATGAAGGATTACATGCTGGCTGCGTTGTTCTTCTAATGTTTTGTTTTAAACAATTGTACAATTTGTAATATATATATATTTTATTTATTATTATTATTATTATTATTATTATTATTAACAATGTGAAATAACTGGAAAAATTTATTAATTACAGACGTAACAAGCGTTAATATTATTTTTCATTAAACAATAACAGCATGTATCCTTCATATTCGTACATAATTTGCTTTAATTATTTATCAATATTTTAAAAAATGGATTTAACACAAACATTTTACGGCCTGATGAAAATTATTTTTTTAAATATAACAATACCATTAATATAATCAATGAAAAGAGAAGTTATACAAGTAAAAGGAAAATAACAAAATGATATACAATATAATAATACTTGCTGAAGAAATGATAGGTATACCTACATCTTATTTCATTTGATAAACATTTTTCTAACGATCTATTTAGACGATATAACATCAACGATATATACATATACATATACATATATATATATATATATTGATTGTTGAAACTTAGTACAAATTATTCAATTTTATAAATACTTTTTTTTTTCTAGAGAACAATAATCTTCACAGTGGCCTAATCATATATTCTGAAAAAAAGCTTTGAATGATTGAATGTTAGACGACGAGAGTATTAGAAGGAGCACAAATTTGTTAACAGTGAATATTTATACTCGTAAGAAATGACATTTGAAAAATATATATATATATGTAGTAATCATGGTATAATATACACCCAAGCATATATATCTTTGTATAGAAGTACAGCAAGAATTGACATCACGTTCATTTTAAGCCGTCCAAACTACAGAGTATACTAGAAACAGGAAATAAAATAATATCTAATTAGATATCGTTAATATTATATCGCTTTCGTATGAAATTATTTATTATGATTGTTAAATGATATCACAAAGTGATATACTAACGAGATTCTAGGAAGAAGTATTCACTGAATGGTTTCAAAATTAATATGACAATTTGATAAATGAATTAATTAGTTTACTTAAACGTTTCGCACACTGGTCTTTGTATTATTAAACATTTTACTATTCCATGAATATTTTTGCCTGATATTTTAGACTACTAAGTATGAAGTGTTCGAATTTTTTACAGTAATTCGGACAATTTATACGTAATAACATTATCTATATATATATATATATATATATATATATATATGTACACACAAGAGTTTAGTGTTCCTCTTTGACATTTCATTGAAGTTTTAAGAAGTATTGTGTTGAGAGAAATATATTAGAACAATTATAAATAATAGAATTATATAAAATATAATAGTTTAAAGAGTATATTTTTACCAATATATTGAAATAAACAACAAATTACTTGAAATGTATTAATCATAATGTTGGTACACGAATATACTTAGAAAAGAAAAAAAAAAAAAAAAAGAAAAAAACAAGAAAATATTGATCAAATAAAACTATTCACACTCGATTATAACGAATGACTTGTGAGTGGTGTCTATA